GAACAAATATTTTTTTCCTTGAAGCTATGATGTGTAAACAGAATGAATGAAATCTCTAATTCCTACTGTGAGAAAGAAAATAATCCTCTCTCCCTTATCTGCCATCTCACCTTTAAAGGCAACCTTCTAATCATTCTATGTAGTAAATTATCTTATCTAAAGCATAACTGGTTATCATTTCCCTTTGCAAACAATACACAGCATTCCAAGCACCCTAAAATGCTTCCTCAAGATTCCTGTTGGCCATTCTACCTACTACACTATGAAGCTGTCAAGGTTTCTATAATGTAATTTTATGGGGGGGGGGGGGGGAATACTCAAAAGTGACAGACTCTAAAGACAAAGAATCATGTTTGTCAAGTGCTGGTCATGTTGTGATTTTTTTTTACACTACTATTGTTATTTGTACTGCAGTAATGCCTCTGAGTCCCAAGCATGAACCAGGATCCCAGTATGTTAGATGCTGTAAAAACACAAAGAACTTACAACCTACTGCTATCCACTTCTGTATGTGCGCAAAGTAACCAACACCTGAGAGATTTATTCTTAGCTTCTTTCCTTGATCAAGTGCTTTAATTTGAAGGAAAAGTGTTGGTACATACAGTGGTTCCCAAACTTTTCGGCATCACACCCTCCTTTTGATTTTTGAGAAACCCTCACGCCCCCTCTCCTAAAAAATAGCAGCAAAACTTGGGGTGGGATTGACGGGGGAGTGTGGGGCTGGGTTGCCTCGCCCCCGCCCCCTCGGAATTTCTTCATGCCCCCCAGTTTGGGAACCCATGCACTAAGCGGCTGTAACAAAAGCCATTCATGTTTCCTAAATCACACCCTTTTCCTAAATTTCATAACCATCACAAAATTCTAAGAGTCAATTTGCATTGCCATCAGGATTTGCACACCTTTGTGTAAAATGTGAGCACATATTTGAGATGGAGAACATTTAAGCTACCGTGACCCATAGCCAGAAAGCATCCTACAGAGCTAAATGACCCAAATTGAACCTTTAGGGACATACTGGTAGATAATGTTTGTGATTTTTATCTGTTTACATGTATATTGTTAGAGATAACAATGTAACCATATGGTTCCCATCTATACTGTATTCATCGCTCTTTGAAGCATACAACAAATCACTTAGAATGGTGGTAAATGGGCAAATGTCTTATGTTAATCTGTAGCTAAGTACTGGTGGTGATTAGGAAGCAAGTTTATTTCAGAACCTCAGTAACTGCATATTGCTTGCCTAAGGATTCCAACCATTCAGGAGGAGGCCTGGAACTGTATAAAAACCCAGTGAGTCCTGATCCTTTTCAACTCAGATCTCCCGGATGCTTTCGTAAGACTGAGATCTCCAGTCCTACCTAAACTGGATTCACTCTTAATATGGACATTGGGCTATAATCTATGAGCTAATTTTGAAAGAACTCTTTGCAACTACAGAGCTCTCCATTTGTACTGTCAATCTGATATTAGAACTGTACTTATGTCTGTATTTATACTGATCTCTTAAGCAATACCTCTGATATTAGAACTGTACTTATGTCTGTATGTATACTGATCTCTTAAGCAATACCCTCTCTCACTTTTTTAATAAATTGTAGTTAATAGGAATTGGCTGTAAGCGTATATTTGGGTAAGAGCTGAAATATTCATTAACCTGAGATGTAGGGTGTCCTATCCTTTTGGATTGGTAGAAGGTTTATATATGATGAATACAATTTTCAGTAATATTTATCATATTTGACATAGGAATCTGGTGGTGGAGGCCTAACGCTGAATTACTTTCAGGGAACTGGCTGCTGGCTTCTGGGTAATCGGTAAAGTATTACAGAAGTTGTTGTGGTCAGTTGATCAATCTAAGCATTGGAAAATCCACCAGCTTTGGGAATTGTTTGTTCCATGTTTTGCAGTTACCCTAATTGAGTAACTCTGGGGTGGCTCCCTGGTTCCCTGTCAAAGTTACACACGAGCTTTAACAAAAGAAAGAGAGTTCCATCATATTGAACACAGTACTATATACAGTGACAAACGCATAACCATACATATCATAACCCTTCCGCATACATTTCACATTCAAACAAAAAGGAGCAGAGATTGCTTATACCGAATTTCACTTTTGGATGAGAAAACTATCCTGAACATTCACCATCCTTCGGCCATGACTTTTACTAAGATCTCTTAGCCATGTGCCCAAATACTTAAATCAGGTTGTATCTGTGATAACAGTATGCTGGGAGGGGAAAGGCAGTGATGTACAGAGAACCTGAGATTGAGAAAGTTTATGAAGGGACTCTAGTGAGGAGGTTTTGATAATTTAGAAGACTTTACCAAGGCATCAGAACCTGTCTCTATGCTGAAATTAGTAATGGGCAATTCTCAAAAAGATTAGAAAGTCTAGTGCCACCAAACAACTTTCAGAAGCTCATCTGAATTTTCAAAACTTTCAAAAAGCACATATTTACCCATTCCAGAAAACAGAGGAAGGAGATTCTACCAACCTTAGTTTTGGGGGAGAGACAAAGGCCTAGTATACACTAAAAAAGGTTGAAAAGACATGCAACTCTAGTTACATAATTTAGAGTCAACGCATCTTAAATCCTGGTCGACACAGCAGGAGGTCAACAGGAGGAAATGCTCCCATCAGCTTCCCTTGCTTTTTGCAAGGAGTAAGAGTACCGAGAGCCGAAACAGTGTCGGAAAAAAATGCAAAGAGCTGCAACAGAATTGTCTAGCAATAAATAAATAAAATAAAAGCCCCCCAAGAACAGAATTGTCAAGCAAAAACAAAAACAATTTAATTTTGTTTAAAAAAGGAGGCTGCCCCTTAAGATGGCCGCCATCTTGGGCGCCATTTTTAAAACTCCGCAGCTCTGACCCTGTAAGCACAAGGAAGCCAGGGGCCCACCAGGAGCCATGGGGGGGGGCACAGGAGTGGCTTCGCGAGCTGCACTTTTGGGGGGGCAAGAGCAGCATGCAGCTCCTGAGCCACGGGTTGGCCATGGCTGATGTAGTGGGTCTGTACTACATCCTCTAAATTGAATCCCTGCAGATTGACAGTGGCAGCATCGATCTTCCATATAATGTAGATGTGCCCAAAGAATTTTACCTCTGGAAGTGCCATCAAGTGAAGTTATAGGCCCCACTGCCACACAAGAAACTACAAGTATGGACTCCCGCCGCACTCCCAGAGACCAACTGAAGTAAGTGAGACTCCATCCAGAATTACGGGAGTGAAAACCGCTCTGTGCAGGATTAGGATTCTAAATAAAGACTGGGCGGGCAGGGGGAATGAAACAGAGAAGAAATAGATTTGCTCTTTCTAAAATAAATGTGTCCAGTGTTCTCAATGTATTTCCTAGATAACTGTCCACTGAAAATGATTAAATCATATTTTGAGCATAAATTGTGTTATCGAAAAGATCAACAGCGTGTTTTATTTAAACTAACTGGAATCCAGCTCCCACAGGAGACATACAACCCTACTCTCAAGCACAGAAGAAGAAAAAAAAATCCCTGAAATTGTTAGTCCCAATCTCCTCTGCAGCAAATCATTTTGTCACCTCTGCTGACTAGACAAGATAATGTACTACGCGAAAGCAATATTTTAGTGAAGCATTAGGATTTCTGAGGTAGCCTGCAAACCATTTCAATTTTATGAAGTTTTAAAGATTTGAAAGGTTTACAAAGAACACAAACAAAACAATCAAGAAAAAGAAAAATCTGTGTTTTGTTTGCAGTTTGCTTTGACTAGGTTCCAACCTGATTGGCCTTCCCATTATCCATTTTGATTTCTATGTTATGTTCATAGCTGCTGTTAAAAAAAAAAAAATCTCCTTCCTTTAGCCTTCAAATAGCAGCAATTTAAAAATCTCATGTCATTTTTTCTCACCTGCAGTGATCCTGCATAACATGACATATATTGCAAGCTATCTGCCAGTCGATTCACAGTCATTACTCATTTTAAATTGACCAGAACCCCTGAGCTGAAAGTCACATCCATGCAGATGCACCAGTGACAAATGGGAATTCACACAGACATACAAGTCCACCTATCCAGGCCTCACTAAAGAATAAGGGGCTAGTTTTGTAATAGTGTTATGAAAATAAAGGCACAGAAGAGATGAACTTGCAATATTTAGAGCAGTGTTAAACTTTTTAAGACCGAGGGACACCAAACAGTAATATTTTTTATGAGGAATTCCAAGCATTTTTCTTTGTTAAGCAAAAAATACAAACAAACTCCTCCCCCAAAAAACCCCACACACAACCACACAGCAGGTAGGGTTGGGCTGGGGAGAAGGTATTGATCAAAAAAGGGGGGGGGGGGAGTTAAGGAAAGTTATTGAGAAAAAAAAAAGGCAGCCATTTTTAACTCTGTTGTTCTCCGCGGCACACAGTTTAAGAAATGCTGATTTAGAGATTATATCCACACTGTGTGTTCTTAACTTGTGTTAACTAACCCGTGTTTTTCAGTTTGGGGTTTTGTTTTCCTAAGTTCAGACATGACCTACATGTAGTTCATTAGTTCTTCTTCTTTAATGCTGAGGTAATATAGTACCTATTATTCATGCAGTATTTGGTCCTCTGATGTGAATTTAGTAACAATATTGTGGCCAACGTTTTGGTGTTTTCTCATTAATATAACAAAAGAAATGGAGAGTAAGAGCAAGACAGAGAGAAGAGGTGTCTGCACGTAGACTGTGCCTTTATCAATTTGGCTCTGATCCCCAGTTTGGGCCTCGAGGTGTGACCAAAACACAAACAACGGTGAACTGTGAATTAGATGTTATTAATAGAAAGAAAAGAATAGCATCACTTCACAAAAAAGGACAACATTATGCAATGAATACCAAGTTTATCCAGAGTACAACACATTAGGAGGAATTCTATCAATGACTTGAAACCATGCCAACCAAGGATTAGGAATCCAATCTTAACACTTTTGCTCACACAAGTTTGATCAATTCTTCTCTACCAAAATTTTGTATTCGTCCACTCACCTCAATTACCTGTGGCAGCGACATCATTGAGGAGGGCACCAAAGCAGATGGGACTGCCATGGTAGCTCAGCAGATGACTGAACTGAAGTATCGAGACAGTTGGTCAGATCTCAATCATGCTGGCAGTCACTCCTGGAAAGAAGGAGAAAATCCTTAGATGAAGAAAGCCATGCAAGTGTTACCGCCCAAATACCAACGGCCTTCAAACCTGTCTCTGAGTAATTTAGTTACCTATTGGATATTTTAAAGGAACTGAGATAGCTACATTTATAGTATCAGGATTATATGCATTTTTTTCCATCAAAACAACTGTTTCAGAAAAAAAAACTAGTTTTCAATTTGAATGATATTAACAATTTCTAAAGTACCAACATGATAATCCAACTTTTTTTTTTTAAACAAGGTAGTATAGCTGCTCTCATATCCGTAATTATGAACTAGGGACAGATTTAAAAAATGGAAAGTATGTCATCTCCTCTCTAAATTCTCTAAATACTGCAGCATGATATAGTATGATCACAACAGCTGCATAATTTTCTACCATCAAAATAGAGTAACTACAGGTTGAACCTCTTTAGTCCAGCACCCTCAGGACCTAACCAGTGCCAAACCAGAGACCTGGCCGAACTACGGGAGGTCAATATTGTTTAGCAGCATTACCAACACTTCCCCTGGTTTCTGGTCTCTTAGAAGAGATTTCAGGGCAAATTAAAGCTAGATAACAGCACAGAACACTGAAAGCCAGGATTAGTGGCTGTAAACAAACTTAATGGGACTGTGGGAAATTTGGCCACACCCATGATAACTGGACATCCGGCTAACTAAAATCATGCTGGACCATGGATGTTACTAGACCAGAGAGTACCGGACTCGAGAAATTCAGCCACTACTAATTGTTTTACTCTCACCATAACTGATACTCAGCTTTAAAATCAAAACATGCTTATTCAAGAATACCATAAAATACTTCAAAATTCCTCAAAGTTCTTCAAAAAGATCTCAATGCTATATTTTAAAAAAAGCAACCCATACACAAACATTGCTGCTCATTACTCATCTCTGCAGGAGTCAGACACTTGGGTTACGTCTAGACTACATCCCTTTTTCGTAAAAGGGATGTAAATTAGATGTATCGCAATTGCTAATGAAGCGGGGATTTAAATCTCCCCCGCTTCATTAGCATAAAAATGGCTGCCGCTTTTTTTCCCCGCACGGAGATTTGCTGGAAAAAAGCGCCAGTCTAGATAAGGATCTTTCAGGAAATAAAGCCTTTTCCGAAAGATCCCTTATTCCTTATTTTAAGAGGAATAAGGGATCTTTCGGAAAAGGATTTATTTTCCGAAAGATCCGCTTCATTAGCAATTGCGATACGTCTAATTTACATCCCTTTTACGAAAAAGGGATGTAGTTAGACGTAGCCTTGTAGTTAACGGTAATATATCAATCTCAGCTTTCCCAAGATATGTTGAGGAGGATGAAAAGAAGTACTGAGCCCTTGACAGTATTTAGTTTGTATTCATTCTTCTCTGTTCTACTACACCACTCAACTTGTTTTTTGTAAAGTGTTATACCATAAAACCTGCACGATCTGGAACTTATGCATCCGGAAAGCTGTAAAAAATGGCAAATTTCTGATGCCGGGGGGAAGGGGGACGGACGGGAAAAGGAAACTGGCTCTTTAAGTGCTAGGCTGCTCCTCAGATGAGCGTGCAGCACGTACCTGGGGGAGGGGCGAACGGCAGCCGGAAGCAAGCAGCAAGCATCTCGGCTCCCCCCATGGCTCCTGGCACCCCTGGCAAGCCAGCTCCCCCCCCGTCCC